ACGCGACCAAAGATGATTCTAGATGTACTATGAACGTGAAACACCTGGTATTCTTATGATTGTTATCTTAACAATTATAATTAAAACACTTATACGCTTATTGCGCTCGCATTCTAATCAGCTCTTTTTTTCGTCCATTCTTCCTACATGTTCACAACAATCTGTTCATCAAATTTCGATATGTTTTCTAAGCAAAAAGAGCATCCTACACATCGACATGTATGTATACAGATTACAGGTTGAAGCGCTTAAAACAGGTCACTTGAATAATTTCTGAATGGTTCAATATATTGATTAAAATTTATAGAGTTATAGTGGCATTTATTATTTAATGAAATCTATCATTTAACCTTGAAAACACCCTCCACTTCAACCCTCCAGGGGAGACGGACGGGGAGGGGAGTTGAAAATCCTAAATAGCATGTGAAATCAAGTGAGGACTCGTTTGAAAGGGCTTTTCGAGACGAGAAAAACGCGGAGTCGTTGAGCTCTTTACGATTTTTTTCACAGAGTTATGTTCATTTGAATATTGGTGTTATTTGCACTAGCGAGGCTCACGGCGAGGGCGTGAGGAAGATAAGGCTTCTCGCATGTTCCTGAATGGAACAGGATGAAAGTGCATGTGGAAGAGCGCGTTTGATCTTTTCGATATCTTATTATTTTTAGTATATCGTAGACTCGTCCATTTAGTAAGACGAAGATTTAATAGATATATGTACATATATGTATTTATCCATTATTTTTGCGAAACGAGGTCTATAATTGTACTGTTCTTAATTGGACGTTTTTTGTTAATAACTTTCTAACAAAGGACGAGCGATGGCTAAAACCTTTTGAAGGTCACTCAGGGTCATGATCCTGACAACATATGTCAAGGTCAAAGTCATCTTTGCCAGGTCCTCTGTTCGGCAGTTTTACCCTAAAAAATGTTTTAAACAAAAGTTGTATGACTTCAAGGGGGACATAAAATGGTATCATTGGTTTGACCTTGGGTGGCATTGTCAAGGTTAGGGAAAGGTCACTTTAAATTTTTTAAATAGAACCCCTCATTTTTCATTGCACATTTTTGTAGCTTATCTCGAGAGCTTTTCAAAACACATGCAATGAAAAATGAGAAGTTTTATTAAAAAAATTTAAACCTTTCCCTGACGCCACCCAAGGTCAAACCAATGATACCATTTTATGTCTCCCTTGAAGTCATACAACTTGTTTGAAACATTTCTCTCTCTCTCTCTCTCTCTCTCTCTACATATACAGGGTGTCCCATTTAATTAATCACCTCAAAATCTCTGAACAGTGCATTTTAGAGAAAAATGTTTCAGACAAAAGTTTTGGGACTTTAAGGGGGACATAAGATAACATTGGTTTGACCCCTGAGTGGCATCGTCAAGGTCAGGACAAGGTTACTTTGAATTTTTTAAATGGAACCCCTCATTTTTCATATTCTTGTAACTTATTTCGAGAGCTTTTCAAAACACATAGATAAAATGTTTTTTGGTTAAGTAAATCTCGAATTATATAGCTTGGAAGTTACAGTACCAACGGCATTAGCATTATCTAAGGTGTCCGAACAATGGCTGAAACCTTTTGAATGTTGTTCAGGATCATGAGCTTGACAATATGTATCAAGGCCATGATCATTGGAGATTGTTTCTCTTATTTTCATTTTTGAAAATTATTTTTATTTTTTGAAAAAAGAGAAATATTCTCCAATAATTATGACTTTGATATATATTATCAAGTTCATAATTCTGAACAACATTCAAAAGATTTCAGCCATTGTTCGGACACTTTGGATAATGCTAATGCCGGTGGTACTGTAACTTTCAAGCTTTATAACTCAAGCCTTATAACGAGATTTACTTAACCAAAAAACGTTTTATCTATGTGTTTTGGAAAGCTCTCAAAATAAGCTACAAGAATATGTAATAAAAAATGGGGGGTTCTATTTAAAAAATTCAAAGTGACCTTGTCCTGATTTTGACAACGCCACTCAAGGTCACACTCTGGCCTTTTTGAAAATTCAATATAGCGGATCCAAAATCGCGACTGGAATAGACTGTCATCAAAAAATTTTTGAAACAAACTTTAATTACTAAAGCACAGGGAGCTAGAAAATTTTTCTATTTCCATAAATTAAGATTTTGAGGGTCGCTGAATACGAATCCGCAGTCATAATTATAAAATTTAAAATGACGGATCTAACATGGCCATCCAAAAATTTCAAGAATTCCCTCGATTTCCATGAAATTCGGTATTCGGGGGTTCTTTGGGTCGCTAATCATGAATCCGCATCCGGATTTGCAAAATTCAAAATTACAGATCCAATATGGCGACCCAATGTCAAAATTTTGACAATTGTCTCAGTTGCCCTGTAAATTTGTATCCGAAGTTTTTTGGATTACCATTGGGGTCTTTGTAATAAATTTGCAGCCAAATTTTCGAAATTGAGTATGGGAAATTAAATCTGGCTATCCAAATCGCGAAAATTCTTCCAATTCTCGATAAATTCGATATTTCAGATTTTTTTTGCTGTCACTAAAGAATCTACCTCAGGATAAAGCCCCATACGCGGCAAATATGCCTCATGGGACTTTATCCTGAGGCAAATTCTTCAGTGACAGCCAAAAAAAATCTGAAATATCGAATTTATCGAGAATTGGAAGAATTTTCGCGATTTGGATAGCCAGATTTAATTTCCCATACTCAATTTCGAAAATTTGGCTGCAAATTTATTACAAAGACCCAATGGCAATCCGAAAAACTTCGGATACGGATTTACAGGGCAATTGAGACAATTGTCAAAATTTTGACATTGGGTCGCCATATTGGATCTGTCATTTTGAATTTTGCAAATCCGGATGCGGATTCATAATTAGCGACCCAAAGAACCCCCGAATACCGAATTTGATGGAACTCGAGAGAATTCTTGAAATTTTGGACGGTCATGTTGGATCCGTCATTTTGAATTTTATAATTGTAACTGCGGATTCGTATTCAGCGACCCCCAAAACCTTAATTTATGGAAATAAAAAAATTTTCTAGTCCCCTGTGCTTCAGTCAAAAGAAAATTGCACAAAAACGCGGTGTACAGCTTTCGAAAGAATGAATCTTTTTCTTTAATTTGCTTTTTTGTTGAGCGTTGTATGATTTTTTTCACCGAGTTATTCAATTTTGAAACAAACCATGACCTTTTTTGCTTCAATGTTGAATAATTCTGTGAAAAAAATCGTACAACGCTCAACAAAAAGCAAATTAAAGAAAAAGATTCTTTCTTTCGAAAACTGTACACCTCGTTTTAGAGCGATTGTTATTTCGGGCCGTGGAATTTTGCAAAGTTAAGAAAAAATTTTGCGATTTGTCATATCTCCATTTGTATCAATCCGACTCCGAAGAAAGTCAGTTAATCGTTTTGTAAAGTATCAAATTGAAAAATGGAGATTTCAAGCTGGAAAATACTTTTTTAAAAATCTCGTTACGATAATTTTTAACAAAATTGCTGTCTTGAATTTTTAGAAATTATTGTTATATTAACGCATTGTCCGGACAATTATTTTGGTAACCATATACACATACATATACATACATATATATATACATATATATATATATATATATATATATATGCATATATGTAATAAGAGAGAAAGAAAGATCAAGTTCGGAAAAACGTGTTGGGATCGATAACTTCTTACGCAACATATAAATTACCATCGTAACCTTGACCGATTAGCGTCACACATTTGTCGCTATCCAAGTTCGTGCTCTCCTCGGCATTGACACGCCCGCCAATTCCAATGACAATACGCTATCCACACCCATCATGGGCTCTACGATCTTTTTTACACGATCCTACTGTCTGCTATTTTCTCTCATCTTCAACCGGACGCGCAATACTACTCGAGCTCCAACATTCGCAAGAGCGGAAGGCCGTAACCTTCGTAAATTAGCCGCATCCTAATTGATGTATCCATTCGAGTACTTTCCGCTCCGCGCGCGCTAAAACACGTTACCAACTAATCGCAAGAATAATCGTAGGACAAACCGGATTACTTGCTCCAGATCGAGCGCAGCTTTTAGGCAAAAAGTGGAACGAGCGACAATACCAAGTTAATAATAAAATTAAAATAAATACATAAAATGTAAAACTGATAATGAGACAATAAAAATGTAAGAGAATATATTTCAGAAGCGTAAATAGAATGTGAAACGCGTGACGCTATTCGTTGGAGAGACAAAAAGAGAGAAAAAGAGGAAACTGTGGTAAAGATTCAGGATTAGATGTGCCGGGTCAAACGAGCATGCAACTCACATCGAATTAGCCGGTCGCACTGAAATTGACCTCTAAGGTTAATTCGATAATCCGCACATGTCGTTTTACCGCATTTTGAGACTACAAAGATCATAGCAGAGAAAGCGAAGGAAAGAACATCCGCGGTACGTACGATAATTCATTTTCAACAAAAAAAAATGGACTTTGACAAAAATGATGCTCGATAAAAATTTACGGATGTTCATTAATCCGCGAAGCTGAAAAGAGTCGGTATTCATTCTTCGTAATTCGTAAATCTAGTCTATGTGGAACATGGAAAACTGCAATAACAGAAAGGAACAACTCATTGAAACTAATCAGGATCCCAATTCGCTTTTATTTCCCGTTATATCTTGCGCGAGTGTGCGTAATACGCCCTCTCGCCCAATATCGTGGAACAAACGCAACTCCCGTCGATACATTTTGTCCGACGCGGATCGATATTCGTTGGAAATCGCCCGAGAGCAAGTGTCAAACGAATGAAAGGACTTACCCGGCTTCCTGCGGGAGCTCCAAAGCACGGGAGGATGCGCGGATGCGGCGACAGCAGCAGCGGGATTACCGCCGGAGGCAGCCAGCTTGACTGCGTTCCGCGAACCTGTAAACCAATCGACAAACTTTTCAAGCTTTGTATTTTTAGCTTCTTCTTTTTTTTCTTTCTTTTCTGCGGCAAGACTAGCTCACGTCACTCTAGCTAGTCGTGCTTTTCCAAATTCGACAGACGCGGAAACAAAAAGCGAAAGGCGGTACCGCGTGACAAAGCAGTTGTTGCATTACGCATTAAAGATGTATGTGTATCTGCATCTCGGTAATCAGACAGGAAGAGGCGAAGTATATGCGGCTAGTGATTTTTTCACGGTGGTCGTACAATTAATAAAAAATTAAGGACATCTAGCGAGGCAGAAGCGGGAAGATCATCTTGTAACACGATAGGATACAATATCTCAAGAGTTGATCCACAGCGATGCTAGAATCAAGATGGAACATTGCTGTCACGAGGAAACGGAGGTGAAGGAGGAGAACCATTATCGATGGTTCATTAAAGCGAGTAAGTACAACGTGAGGCAATACGATGCTTCGCTCGGTATTCGGTTTCGCTGTCGCGAGTGATAAAACGACAGGGCCATCCGCGCAGCGACATTGAAGGTGCCGAGCGCGCGTGCGTGTTATTCATCGGACAAATTGATAATTATTATCCGCGGTATGTGTACATGTTAAGATCCAATTGAGCAGCGCAATGATAAAGGAGAAAAAAAAAGACATTCATTTGGATGTCGCGGACCACTTACGGTTTCAGAATACGACAATCGTCACGGCACTGCCGAATGAGCTAACAACGCAAGCCGGAAGAGGAAATTTGGAGAAGGAAGGGAATGATTCGCGATTGCTCGCCCGCTGTAATATCTAGGATTGTTTCACATGATTGTCTCCCAGCTAGGGTTGCCATATCAAAATTTTCAAAATTAGAACTTACAGATCAAAAACCCACATATCAATCTCGGACGTATACAAAAATTACGTGTAGGTTTGTAAAATTGATCAAAACAGTCTACGAATAATTATTTTACATCTAATTGTTCATTAATAAATATAATATATAGTGTGCAGTAAGTTATAAGCCATAAGAAATAGACCAATTATGATCAATTATTTTTCTTTATTCGACTGTATTCATGCGTACTACACTTATTATTAAATTCGAACTAATACATGGTAGCACGGGAAGAGTTAAAGCAAAATATTTAGAAAATTTCCCAATAGCCCAGGCCCCTTCGGAAAATTCTTCCGTACGTCCTAAAAAAGAGGACGGTGTTCGAGAAAAAGGGGACGAATGGTAATTTTATTCCCACAGCACGAAACGCGCCCGTCACAACTCACAAAATCCATCCGGTGGTTCCTCGACTTCGGGGCTCGACGAGGTGGTGCAGCTGCAGGTGCACGAGCAGAACAACTTTCCTCTGCCATCGCGATTCGCCGGATAATTCGCCGGACGACGTTGTCGTCCACCGATCGCCATAACGAACGAAACGGGAAGACGCGCGAGAGGAAAATGGATTGTGAAACGTGTATTCGAGGATTCGCCGAATCAAGGGGGAAAATCGAACGAAATCGGCGCCACTCGCGAGACTCCCAGGTGAATTAACCTTGGGTGGCTATCCGATTGATAACAAAGGGCACGCGAAAACGATATGCGTGTTCCGATGCGATTTCTCGTATAATTCTGCCCATAGCCTATGCTGCACAGGTTATCTCAGATCTACTGCACTATTTACTAATGGTAGAAGTCTTCTTGAAATTATTTAGAGAATTAAGATGAAAATTCTGATACCAAAACATTGAGACTAAAAATTTTCAAATAAGAAGCATTTAAAAATCAATCGCGTTGTTCGAAATTCGCGCGTTCAGATCCATTGTGAAATACCCTTAAATATTAATGTTTAAATATTAATATTAATAATGCGTACACTTTTGTAAATTTATATTTTCGTAACTTTCCAACGTATTCAATTTATTTGTACTTGCTAAAATGATTGTAGTTTTAATGTTTTTGTATTAAAATTTTCGTCTCTAAATAACTTCAAAAATCTATTATTAGTACATTGAGAGAAAAAAATGTTTACAATAATGTATAGTTACTTTCGGTACCAACTATATATTTTTGTTTGAACTATATAAATACAATTTTTGTAGAATTATAAATATAATTATTATCACTAATATTATAGCACAATAAAAACTATACAAATGGGGCTCCTAACTGTAATTATTTTACCATTTATAGTCACCAAACATTTTTCTCTCAGTGTAGATGATGCAATAGGTTTCAATCACTCTGTATGTATTCTCGATATATACAGTCGACTTCCGTTCGTTGTAATAGCATTTTGACGATCGTTAGTTAATACAATCGTCAACCAGTACGTGCATTAAATTTTCCGATCTGCGCCTCCGATCTGTATTCATCGGCCTAATGTACTAATGGTCGCGTCATTCCACCCCCGGCCCTCGCTCGAAATGCTATTTTTGGTGTCACTTTGGAACAGCTAATCGTTCCGATTACGCTAAAGGGCGATAAAGCGATTATATCTAATATAAAACGTCTTGAATCGTCATACATCTATTTACGTTTATACGCTTGTTTACGCAACATAATAAAGTTTTTTTCCATTACGACGATATTAATTACAATTTCGTTATCGGTTTCTCGTCAAATTTTCTATAAATACCTCCTGTCAGTCTTTCATTCACTATCTATATTTGTTTGTACTCGTTGTTATTGTTGATAAATAGCGAGAAACAGGAGGACAAAAGCTTTTAAAGATGAACAAACGTTTACAGCGAATGTTCCTATATATTCGTTTTTTTTTATAGTAAAGTTCGCAATCTCTAATACGCTCGAATCTTGGAGCGTGTCCTTACGAAGAGTATGCACGCGAGAATCGATCGACAAGCACGCGAGATCCATAAACATTAATCCAATCACACGTACAGCATTTTAATGATTCGATATCGCAGTACGTGCGCGTCCGGTCTTGAATGGGCTGCACATTTTATTAAAAGCCGCCTCCACGTGTCTTACATTCTCGTATACGAAACTTGGTAGTAGTCCAGACGTTTTGTTATTCTCGAGCGTTATTTTTCATGAAGTAATCATCCTGGAAACTTGGTGCGTGGTGCATTTATCAGTCAGGACTCCGGAATAAAATGTTGATGCGTTTCCTTCTCGTAACGAACAGTCTGTATCGCTCTCTTTCTTATTTCTCAATCGTTTCAAATGTTTTTGCGAGAACGAACGGATCCGGAAGGATATAGGCTGGGCATCGCACCGCGATATATTTACGTAACCATATCGATCGTTCCTTTGGCAAATAACGCCCACGCGTCGTAAACGCCCGGAGACGTCACGCGGAATACAGTGTGTACAGTGTAGTTTTGCGAAAAACGTGCACACAACGCGATCTCGTCGAGCGGTCGTTGGCTTATTGACACATAAAGGCAATTAGCGATATGACTGACGTCTGACGTCGTAAGATAAGATCCCTTGAAGATCACGTCGCGGATATGCAGGTACGCAGGAGATAGACGCGTTACGACTGCACGAAACAATGCGACGCGTGTTGCTACTAACCATTTACGTAACAACAAGCGCCGACGCGTCCCGAGGCGTCTGTTCCTTCCTCTTTCTTTTTTTTTTATTATCTGACATTGATAAACATATTTGTTCGCTTCTGATGTCGTAACTCACGTTTCCGTAACTTCAGTGAGAACGATCTAGTGGCATTCAATCGAGACGCTTGTCAACCCGTGAGTCGGAAAGTTTTCGGTATGTCTCTCCAATCCGTATCGCACACGGATAATAGTGTACGAAAAGAACTAATTTATTTCGCCACAATGCGAGAAATAAAGATTCACGCTATTTCTCGCGGAACTAACAATAAGTCAGCCACGTTATAATTCGATGTGACTGCAGCGAGAAAACGGGAATTTTAAGAAGGCAAATTACTTTCGCAGGAGAAAAAAATCGATTTTTTTTATTTTTTGCGAAAACAAAATGTCTCTTTAATATCTAGTTTTAAAAACGTGTGAAGAAAAGTTTCATTTCAAAGTTCATGAAAAATTTCGACGAAATCATAGCGATTAATACAAAACATGCACACGTGGTAAGCGAGTGCGTACAAATCAGGCACGCATTTTTCGCAACATATATACTATTTCGTTAAACTTTCCACGATAATTCGGTCACATTTTACAATTTTTTACTAAAAAAATTTATATTATATGGATATTCTCAATACCATTCTCTATAGTTTCTCGAGCCATTTTTTAACTTAATTTCTATTTCTTTTTTTGTAAAATAAAAAAGCGAATTTTACTAAAATTGTCAATTTCTTTTTTATAATAACCCAAAAAATACAGTTGTTTAATAATTAAAATAAGAAATCTAACTCAAGAGACTATAATTACAATACTATTTTATAAGAAAACTTTTTAGGTCTTTAGATTCGACTATTGTATTGAATATAAACCATGCAAACCATGCACGAGTGCAAGCAGAAGCACGGCAATAGATATTATGACATTTCAGCACATAAAATAAGAATACATTTTTTGTTATTAAATGTAACTATTATATAAAATTACATATATGTATAAAATTCAAACAAATTCATTTAGTAATTTTGTTTAAATAAATTCTCGAATATTATTGTTTCTTTCACCTGAGACAGTAATTTACCCTCTTAAAAGAATATCCGAGTTTTGTTTGGGATAATTCGCGCAAAGTTTGGAACTCGAGTAGAAAGAATTAATGTATAGTTTTCCACCACGAGTAGAATAAGTTATCTCCTTGCGTAATTACTTATTGTTAGTTTCGCTATCTCGAAATCTTACCTCTGTCAAGAAAAGTAGAAATACAATGTAAAGAATTACGCGCGATAGAATTTCTCAAATTCCTCGTGTATTCGTGTCGTGAGTAAACGTTCAGATAGCTACGTGTCTAGTCCGTGTCGCGATAAAGAGACCCAAAAAAAGGTGGTTTTTTTGGGCCCTCGATTTTAGGACTGGACTGTGTGCCAAATGGTATCTTTTGAAATATTAATCACAAAAAAGTTTTAGGTTGAGGGACAATTGTTATCACAGCTGGAGGGGGGTCACTTATTACGTCTCGAAAACTCGATTTTTTACATTCAAAACGAGTGTCATTTACGTAAAACTGCGATCAACCTTCTTAAAATGCCGGACCTCGCAAACCTGTGATAATTCCATAATGAACTTTGAATTCATCTCCCCTCTCTCTCTCCTCCAGTTCTGATAACAATTGTCACCTCAACTTGAAACTTCTCTATAACTAATGTCTCATTATAAGGTATTAATTGGCACACAGTTCAGTTTCAAAATCGAGGATTAAAAAAACGGGCGATTTTTTGGGTCACTATTATGTGTTATGGATGTATGTATCTCAAAACATTACAAAAAATATAAAAATTTTACAGATTGTTCTGTTAATACATCTGAGCAACTGTGCAAAATTTGAGCACGATTCTCTTATTAATTATTTAATTTTTTATTTACTCTTGATTCTTATATAAAATCGCGTCTTGAAGTACTTATTTGCAAATTTGATAAGGAAGTAGCATTAAGAATTAAATCAAATTTTGTATATGTACTAATATGACTCTAATAAATATTTGTGCAAAAGTTAATTTGGATTCACTTACTTGTTTAAAAGTTATTTAAATAAAACTGCAGTAAAATACGGATATTACGCTGCATAAGCCATTTCATTTATGCGACTTGACAACATTCACAGTAAACATTTGTGACATCTGTCATTTGAATAGGAGATGTTATTGTCGATACTTTTTAATTTTTGGCGACACAAATAGTTATATATTTTCATGTAATACTCATTTTCCTTTTCAACAATATTTATTATTTTTCGACATTTTAGAAAATTCACGAAATTCGAAGCACTTTCTACACTTAAAGCTTGATAAACGGTAATGCCAACGTAGAAAATAATGCAATATTGTCATATTTTACAATAATTTAAATATATATTTTCTTCTAAAATTATTAATTTAATATATATAACTGATTTTTTAAATATTAAATGTATATGTAAATTAATCATTGCTTGTAATGACCAATAATCATTTTATAAATTATTCATTATTTCGTTTCTTACAGTTGACTTCAGGGCATGTTCACGACCAAAATTTTTTATCGTTAATCAAAAAAAATATTAATTATAAATATTTCTATTCTTGAAGACATGAAAAATCATGTCATTTCACGAAAGTTTAACTTAATTCTTATGTATAAAGTTATTAATTTTATTTTTAGACGATACGAATCTAAGAAATCTGTAAATTTCAAATTTTGATAGCTTTTAGCTGATATTGTACATCCCAAACATCCTTAAATACGCTTTTATACAATGCAGCGTTATACTGCAAATTTTCCTCATGCGTTCTTGGCAACGAGCTCTGGCAAAAGTGCGCGCAATATAATCGATCTCCTACGGGACTATACACTCCCGCATTTTGACTTGACGCGCCAACCGAAATATAATAGCCATTCGAAAGTGTGCCACGGTCTCGAAGAAGGTTTGGAGCCATCGCGCGCGCGGTAAAGTATTTATCGAACGAATGAGCCGTTTGCGCTGCACAACGAGCACCGCTTTCTTTTTCACCGAACGCCCGCTATTCTGGTCAACTTTCCGTTAACCAGTCGCGGCACGTTCAGATAGGTAGGTATTAGAAATCTCACGGTAGCATATCGTCGATCGAATCGTCCGACTTTCGCATCCGCGGGAGGACCGTCGCCGCGTCGGTCCCTCATATCCTTTTCCCATTTTCGCGCGCTTCCGAGTTTGTCGCGAACGGAGGCGAACGAGAATGACATCTCATTGGATAAAGAAACTGAAGAAAGAGCAGCACGGCGATAACGCGTGTTGTCCATCCAATACCCGTAGATAAGCATTATCGCGCTCAAATCGCGAATGGATCCTCGAGGTTACTTCGTCTAATTAAACGTGATCGAGAGAAGGTCTGTTTCATTTTCTTTCTGCATTGCATCCCGTCCCCGCGCGTTCTCTCCTTTTTCTCAATCTTCGTCTTCCTTTCCTCTTTCCTTCGCTCAATCGCACATCTGTTTCATTTCGTGCAAGGAAAGCGCGATACGACGCGAAGGAGAATATAGCAGACCCAGCGGAGCCGGGATCTCGAACGAATACGGTTCTTGATTTCGTTTATCGATCCCGCGGAATCGGAGACGCAATTTGGTAGTTAAATCGTGCGTCCGGCTCGAGTCTCGGCTGTGCGGTCAACGACGACTTGAAGGGATGCGGAGATGCGATCGACATGGTAAATCGAGGCCGTTTACCGGCAAGAAATAATCAGTCAGATACACATGCGGCGTACGTTATGTTACGCGTAACCTTGCACTTGCAACAATAGTGCGCATGTCGCGCGCACGCGGCGCGGTGCGGCGCCTCGCTTCGCCTCGCCTCGTCTTGCTTCGCCTCGCCTCGCCTCGCTTCGCCGTCTCGCGATATGAGTGAAGTGATACGACACGATGCTCTGCGAGAACGGTATCTACGATATACTTTTATCGCGATGTATCTTCCTTTACATCGTTAATATCAACATGCCATTTAATCAAAACATAATCGTTCGTTATGATGTTTCACTTTCAGAAGAAAAGAGAAAACGAAAGAAGAGAAAAGAAGAAATCAGATAAACGTATCAATCACGTTGTTAATCCCACGCGCTGAACGCGCTTGCATTCTCTCGGCGATCGCCGTGAAAATTTATGCAATCTCGTTCTTCCGTTATCAACCGTGGAGTTTCATTAAATCTTCTATTATCTTAAATCTCTCTTATTTCCTCATCGTGGAGGCCAGGTATGTCCTCACGTGTCTCGCGCTACGTTCTTATATGGTAAGAATACAGTTTGTTCGTTTTCGAAGTGACGAAACGTGGCGTTTCTGTTTCTTGGCGCGCGATTGTATTTTTCGGATACCATGCCACCGGGAGTTCACGAAATGTGAATCAGTTTTTACACATGAAAGAAGTTCCCTCTCGCAGTATATTCACCTACTGTCTTATGTCTTCTCGAGATACAGGTATTTCCACATGGTCGACATACTTCGGATAATTGTGGCGTGCGACGAATAAAAAAATAATACTCGCGCCCATCGAGCGCGAAGAATAAGTACTTCGAACGCGTTCTAAGCTATGCCGGAAAAATCATAAATAATGTATTGTTGTAATCTCGACGCCGCAGTGAATTAAAATTACAGCGAGCGGGTGCTTTTACAAATCATCGATTCTATATATTCAAATAAGTAAATAAATAAATGTATAATACAATATATAATATATTACAAAGTAGAAAGATTTCCAGAAATAATCAACAATTCAAATATAATAGTGGGAATCGGCGCGATAATTATTGCGCAAAATTATAAATTTCAATAATTAACATAAGTTTATCCCGTGCATATATGTATAAGTATGTATATTTCCATACGTTTCAGCCATCCTTCTGATCATCTTCAGTGATACATATATTAACGTAGTAGTCACAAAATTAATACGTAGACCATATTTCCATCGTGTTTCAATTTATAACAACAATTCTGACGTAAAGGTAAAAATTAATGTCTCGAAAGTCATCACATATTAAGAAAGTGTTAAAAGTCGTCTGTACTTCCAATAAGAGTCAAGATTTTAAAATATTAAATAAATACAATAATATATATTTATATAATCTAATTCCTAACATTTCTAATTCTCCTATAAAGCAACACGTGCAACACTGAAACCACTACATCTTGATCCTTATTCTTCCTGGCGATTTTCATTCAACGCGTACCAAGATTAAAAATCACATCGGAATCGTGCAAGCAATCGTCCTCCCCTCCTCCTCTCACTTTTTCTCCTACTTGTAGTGTCTTGTCGCGTATCAGCGACAGTTTCGTAAATATCAAAGTATTGGAGTCATAGGCGCCGGTCGTAATGCGCAATCGCGAGGCCGCGGCGTGCCGAACGTGTGTGATACCTACCTTTTGTGAGAGGAAAACGATAGCGGTAAACGAAGGCCAAGGGTCGCACTTGGTCGTCGGTAGGTTTCCGTGCGACTTTGACTTCCGCGCGAGCCGGAATTCCAACGAGGATTCTTTCTTCTCCACGCTCCTTCCTTTTTCTCTTTCTTTCTCGTATGTATACGTGCGTGACGCCGCGAAGACGCTCGCGCGGCACACGGGGGGCCACGAGATCGGCGTAATGCACGAATTTTTGAAGCGACACTCGACGTAGCGGCCGTAGCGCGTCGACCGGCGTGAACTCAACCCGAGAGCAAGGGGAGTGAAAAAAAAAGAGGCGAGAAGGCGCGTCGCGCGTCGTCGACGGCGCGGCCTTGGCGCGAGACGTCGTGTTGCGTGGCACGGCGTGGCGCGGCGTGGTGTGGCGTGGCGTGGCGTAACGCTTCCAGCCAGCTTCCACGGCGGACTGCCTGCACTGGGCTGCACCGGCTGATAACCGACACATTGACGGAGCCCCACTGTGTTAAGGACCGACACACTCGTCTCGCGACGGGTGTCGTGTTAGCTCGGTGGAAAAGAAAAATACGGGATCCGCCGTGCGCTAACGCCCTCTTGGGAAGTATCGCGGCCGGAATAGGAAACAGCAAGCCGAAACTTGGCATAGACGATAACCGCAGGTGCGCGGTTTTTAAGGATAACGACTACGACCGAACTCTGGAGATTAAATAACTTGATCGGTTGCGATACTTGCGATTGATTCAACCGGCAGAATTGCTCGAAACAATCATTTCCAGTTGTATATATAATTCATTATTCCCGATATTTTTTCCACGTGTTCAACAACAAAAAAATAATTCTCTGTCGAATGTTTACAAAAATATGGATATTATTGATACTTGAGTCATAATTAGCATTTAGTCAAAGTTATCGCAAGGGTATACGTTACAAAATTCAATTAAACATTTGTATATAAAACATTTTAAATGCTGTTTATTGTCTAACATGATGTTTTTATTTAAAAAAATCAAATTGAAAATTTAAAATGTAAGTTGTTCTCTGAAAGTTTGTAAGATTAAAAAATTTTTTTTTAATTTAAAAAGTAAATTTATTGAATTAAAAATAATACATCGCTTTGATTTGCTGTGGAAAAATTTCTGTCATTAAAAAACGAGCAACTGCGTGTATGAAACATTGAAAACTTAAAACTGAAGATAAAATGATAAATGAACGCAAAAAATATTGATGATATCGTTAGAGCTCTTAAAAAAGGAGAAAAAATACAAAAAATTTTATTAGATATTTTTAAGCTTTTTTTTATCTTTTGTACTTTGTCTTTTCCCTATTTCGATAATAGTCGCTGCGCATTTATAAGTTTTAAAGTCATGATATGATATATATATATATATATATATAATATATAATATATAATGTATACATACGTTCCAATGTTAAAATTTGCGGCAATACGGCAATAATCAATCTCACCAAACCTTGTTATAGTTTAATTCATTTTAATTAAAAAGAAAAACGATGAAACATTTTTATTCTAAACCGAGATTGTCCTCTGTGAGTAAATTTATGTGCGTATTTACTCATTCTTTTTCGAGTAGAGACAAAAGCTACGTGCGCAGAAATGGATTGCGCGCGCAAAATGTTTGAACCGCGCACGCGCCGTGTGAAGAAACGAGAGGCATGGGGGAGAGGGAATTTCTGAGCGAGTGAGTATTGTGAGTAAAGAGAGAGGTCAGAGAGGGAGGACTCTGATCATTCCAGAACAGAGATGCTATAGAGACTTGTCAGAGAGACTTCGGAGGAGAGGCGTAATTTTTGCGGCATTTGCGCCGCTTGCGCGTGCTGTCAAAATATATTTACTGTGCATTCTCTAGTCTCTCCACCTTCTATATCTCTGATGAGTCATGAGCCTTCGGGAAACGCCTGAGGTATCACACAAGTGAATGAACCACTGCGCACAAAATCGCATTCGGCAACTACAGCGAATTAAGAGAAAGCAAAAGAAAACACAACCATCGCCATAACAATTATACTTGACATTGGTCGTAGAGTACTCCGTTTGAGGAAACTGGTGTCACTAACAACGGAAGAAGAAGAAAAAGTGTCGGAGTGCACGCGGGGCTCCTCGAACAGGAATTCTCCTCCCTCTTCCTCCCCCTCGCCACACTTTCGCGTGTCACCGCTTGTGCTCGTGCCTGATTTCACGTCCAAGATCATCCAAGATCGAGCCGAGGAACGGGGTGACCCGTGCAGGCCGTACATACGTGCGAGTCATCGCGAGTCTTCGTCTCGTTACTCTCGTTGAGTCTCGTCTCATCGAGTCTCGTGCGTCGAGATTGGCAAGTCGATAACGAGCTCGACGACCAAGCATCATCGAGTTCTCCCGAGCCGCGATACGCGAGTGCACGACGATATGATTCGTGGAATTCGACGCGATGCTCCACTCAAGTCACCGAGCAACAACACGGCGTAACAAGGAATACGAGGATTTTCCCGATAGCTAGGCTGCACAGAATTTTTACTGATTGCGAGCGCCGGTCACGCGCCGAACAGCTGAAATCCGTCGAGATGGAGTCGGCAGGACAGAATCAGCCACCCAACAATATCAATGACGCTTCCGACACCAAGGGCAGGCGAGTTTTTCATCATTCTCTTCTTCTTTCTATTCTATTCTAATGGATTTGTATCCCAGATTTCTGTTCCAACTGACGACAAAGTAGACGAGTCGTTCATCCTTTTCTTTTATACCTTGCTCCGACTTCATTAAATTAACTGACAATAAGTCTTGTATTGCAAACTGTACTGTAATCAGAATTATAACTTTTGTCTTTTATTGTTATAGCTGCTTGTTACTTCGCTATGCCAGCCAAAATTCCCTGGACGAGAGCTCACAAAAACATATTCCTCGTGAGAATGGGAAGGATAAACCACCATACAGGAATCATCATCACACAAATCGAGCCTTTGATGTCATCAACGAGATGAGAAAGTATATATATTTTTGTTATCTTTGCTATCTATTGAAATGCATTATTTAGTATTTATTTTTTGGAAAATTCAACGTTGGTCAGATGTATCGTATTAAAAAAAATATTTATATACTCCCTTTAGGCATATTATATATTAGTATATTGGCATATATACTATTACGTTACTAAAAAAATATTTGTGAAATGTAAATTTGATAAGTATTTATAAGAAATATAATAACATGGATTTAAAATAGTGTGCTATTGTTGTTTAGGAAAAATTTACTCTGCGACGTCATTCTCGTAGCGGACGGTGGTATGGAAGTACCGGCTCACAAAATGGTCCTCGCTGCGTGCAGTCCTTACTTTTATGCTATGTTTACAAGTTTTGAGGAGCGCGATCAACAGAGGATAACGTTGCAAGGCGTGGATTATTCGGCATTAGAATTATTAGTAGATTACGTTTACTCCGCCGAAGTCCACGTCACAGAGGATAATGTACAAGTGCTCCTTCCTGCTGCAAACTTGTTACAATTGACAGATGTACGAGACGCCTGTTGCGATTTTTTACAGGCTCAATTACATCCGTCTAATTGCCTTGGTATTAGGGCGTTTGCGGATCTGCATGGGTGCCTCGAATTGCTGTCGCACGCAGACAGTTACATCGAACAGCATTTTTCGTAAGTCATCTCGAGTCTCGATTCACTCAATCAGACTGTATTGTGCGTATCATATTAATTGTTCTCTTACTATCGATTATAGAGAAGTAGTTGACGCAGAAGAATTTTTAACACTGGCACCCGAACAAGTGGCTAAACTTATCTGTAGCGATCGTTTAATGGTACCTTCCGAAGAGAAAGTATTCGAATGCGTTATTTCATGGGTACATCACGATCTCGAAAAGAGGCAAAATGATTTGGCTTTGTTAATGGAGCATGTGCGCTTGCCTTTGCTTTCTCAAGAGTATTTGGTACAACGTGTGGAAGAGGAACCACTCCTCAAGGCAAATTTACAATGTAAGTTTATTATTAAAGTGTACACACGTACTAAAAGAAGGGATACATATATTCCTTAATTTCCACAGGCAAGGATTTCTTGATTGAAGCCTTAAAATATCATTTACTGAAGGGTGAGCAAAAGTCATTATTCAAAACGCCGCGTACGAAACCAAGACAACCGAGAGGATTACCCAAAGTATTACTCGTTGTCGGCGGCCAAGCTCCAAAGGCAATCAGAAGCGTCGAGTGCTACGACTTTAAAGAGGAAAGGTGGTATCAAGTTTCTGAACTACCAACACGACGTTGCAGAGCTGGTAAGTAGCACCAATCGAATTGTGATGGCAGAATTATTCTCTTTTCTTCCTGTAAAGTAACGCACGACTGTACTGTATTAGATTGTAGGATTCTATAAAGTAAGATACTATAAAGTAATAATAATAATGGGTAGGGCATAGTTATAACAGAGGTAATAGCAAGTGTAGAAAGAAATTAAATTTTGAAGAATTAATTATTAGGGGAAAAATATATATACATATATACGTACACAATGGGAGGATTTTAAGATTTTAAAAGCGAAATATAATAGGAGGAAATATAAGGAGATTGGGACAAAAAATAGATGACTCAGATATCTGAAAAAAGAAAATTTAGATGAAGTGAGGAAAAAAATTAGAGTAACAGTGAAATTAAAGTGCGAAAATATGGAAGAAGTAAATAAATACTAATTGAAGGAGAGTCATTGGAGTTGTATTCAATGGGAAAGCTAGGGATTAGAGTATCATGTAAAGGAATGTAAGAAAATAAAGGATTGGTTTATAAAAGAGAGGAAAGAAAGAATTATAAATAAGATGTGGGAAAAGAATTTAGACAGAATTAAAGGCAAGATATTAAGGAAATTATGGAAGGAGAAAGATAATTAAGAAAAGGAAAGGGAAGAGCAGCGAGAGGGAAGTATTTTGGATAAAGAAGAGATAGGAATAATAGATACGAATGTAAAAAAGGTGAGACAGATGAATGTATGTGTGTGTGACAGAAAGAATATGTAAAATGTAAGTATATAGAGATAATCGTTTATATGTATATGACAACATTGTGGTTAGATAATGAAGATACGTGGAAGGAATAAGTCTAAAAAATTTAAGGTATAAGTTAGTTAATATGCGGATAAAATGATGGATGAATGTGATAATTATTAATTGTAAACCAAGTCCCTTAACTATGCCGAAATGAATTAGATTTATTCTATTTGTAGGACTCTGTGTTCTCGGTGGACGCGTATATGCCGTTGGTGGATTCAACGGATCACTAAGAGTACGAACGGTTGATATTTATGACGCCGCGGCAGATCAGTGGTCACCTTGTCCTGAGATGGAGGCAAGGAGATCGACGCTCGGTGTAGCTGTACTCGGCAATTGCGTTTATGCTGTGCGTTATTACATTCTTCTCTTTGTATCTTTTTTTTTTTTTTATGAATTATATTTGAAATTCAAGAACATATTTTAATTAGAAAATACCGCCTCTGTTCTTTTCTCTTTATAACAATCGATATTTTATGTGCACAGGTCGGTGGCTTCGATGGTTCGACAGGATTAAATTCGGCTGAAGTTTACGATCCGCGGACTCGCGAATGGAGACCCATAGCACGAATGTCAACGCGACGTAGTAGTGTAGGAGTCGGCGTTGTCAAAGGATTGCTTTACGCTGTAAGTTTATATAAAATATCGTTACTTTGAATACGACCTCGTCTGTGTTATATGTTTAATTAAGATAGAGATACTTTGCGATTAGGTTGGCGGCTACGATGGAGAATCTAGGCAATGCCTTTCCAGTGTCGAATGCTATAATCCCGAGAAGGATCAATGGAAACCTGTACCTGAAATGTCCGCGCGTCGCAGCGGTGCAGGTGTTGGTGTTCTGGATGGTATTTTATACGCGGTAGGTGGTCACGATGGTCCACTAGTACGAAAAAGCGTAGAAGCATTTAATCCGGAGACAAATCAGTGGACTCCTGTCAGTGATATGACACTATGTCGTCGTAATGCCGGTAAGCGGCTAATATTTCTTATATTTTCTTCTGTTTCTCACGTTAATCTCTTCTCGTAAGCCTGACATAAATGCTATATTAAACAGGTGTTGTGGCGTTAAACGGACTTTTATACGTGGTGGGTGGAGACGACGGTTCCTCCAGTTTGGCATCGGTAGAGGTGTATTCTCCAAGAACCGATACCTGGACTACTCTGCCGACTTGCATGGGAGTTGGCCGTAGTTACGCAGGAGTGGCAATCATCGATAAACCAATGGCCCCCGCGACGACAATGTGAGGTCTACAATCCGCTGGGCATGCGACAGAACAAAACACGGACCCGGGTGCCGAGATATCGGACTCCTCGCGGGAAGCCGGGCCCAGCGGTGTGCAAATACAAAATCGCGGCGCCAGCCACAATTGTCAAGGCCCGCGTTGCGTTTGCCAGAGATATGAGAATGGCGAATTAGCCGCAGTAATAATGAATCAGGGCAGAAGTAATCAGGAGAGGGAAGATGGTTATCAAAACGCGGGTCATGTCTCGCGTGCTTTTCAAAACCGTTCCAATAACGGCGCGCTACAGATACATCCAAATCTGAATCCAAATTATCAAAATCCAATTGATTTGATACACAATTACAATCGTCGATTACAACAGCAACAACAGCCACAGCAGCAGCAGCAACAGCAAGAACCGGAAGAAAACATTTACGAGCGTTTGGACAATGATGATGATGAAGACGATGATGAAAGCGCGGACGTCCCTCGGAATGAATCGCTAGCGCAAAATATTCAGGGTAACATGGATAATCATATGTACGAAAGAATAGGCGAGCGGATATCGTGCAGCAGTAGAGCACATTGCCATTATTACAAGTATCATGTGCCTGCTCATAGTTTTTTGAACGATATGGAAAGTGCCAGGAATGTGAGCCAATACGATCAACCGAGACACATCTATATCGATTATTCTCGATTGAGTAACATTCACCAAAGTTCTCTAAGAAGATTAGGTCGCAATTGCTTCTCCACGGAGAACATTGCATACGCTTCTACGAAACGTTCCGTTCATCCAATCATGTATAATTGCACATGTCCGTATTGTAGGAATGTGGACGCAAGATACGTATGCCATCATTGTCACAATCTGTACAATAGATTACGGTATCAAGACACCGCTAACCCCAGACATTACGTCTATCAAGTTTCAAGAAATTGCAGGTGCCCCTTTTGTCGCGGTGAATATTCATATGCGAAGTTTCCCGCTGCTCTTCGCGCTGCTGAACTATTGAAAATGGAATGTTGCCATTGTAGAAATCCGGCTAATTGCATCTGCCGTAGTAAAGTACCGTCTGATCTGAATTCCACAATCATCGGACGATATCTGGATTGGATTAATCGGACCGGACAGTCTGTTAACAATCCTCTATATGCCATGATTCATGTCGGTAGGATGGATCGTGCTTCCGTGTCCGGCCACGGGAATACATCTAATGGTGGAAATCCATCGAACGGTGCTGATCCCGGCCCATCGACATCCGGCAATGTGACATCTAATGTAAGATTCAACGAATCGAGTTCGTCTTCAGTTTTGCGATCGGTATTCGCCCCTGGCGTTTCCACATCAAACGTTCCTATTTGTCCTGTAAGCCGCTACGTAGAACATCAACATACCTGCGACGATTCCTGTATCCGCAGTCAAAGCGGTAGTCTGACTGGAATATGTCAGCTTCTTGGTAGATGCGAAAGAACGGAATGCAATCATGGAAGACTTTCCGTACATTGGTGGTTCGTGAATAAATGGCTCCCGCTATGGAATTCTCACAATCTTGACAGAAATGTAGACGGCGCGCCATGCGTGGATGAAATATCACGGGAACAGCGCGACAGCGACAGCGATGATTCTTAAATCGTTTAAGAATCCTCTTTATCGTGAGAGTGCCTGTTTTGCGTATTTAAAATGTTTAATGTCACATCTTCCATTAATTTCTATTATACGTAATGCGATTATGATTTATTGGCTCGTTCGTAGCGCAAATAACGAAATCGAGAAGCTTGCGTACAAGCGAAGATAATTCAGTGATACAATAATGACTTTAAGTATATGTCCCATGACAATAAATTCATATACTGCGATTTCAAAATATAAAGGATATTAGAAAAATTGTTTTTAATTGCAAGTGATATTATTTTTAACTCAATTTTTTTCATTTGGTTTTATATATATATACATACATATATCTTATTCGAAATGTTGTAGATGTATTCTAGAGTACATCTATATTCTAGAGTAAACACGCAAACAGAATTATGCTATTGCTACGTTATACATGGTCCGTTTCGAAAGTTTCCGAATTTTATTAAAAAATCCAATTTCTTATAAAATTGTATTTATTGTATTAATTATTCAGGTATATTATTTATTCCATCTGAAGTAATACAATCTTCGTAGTGATCGTATAATTTGGAAACTCTGATAATCTTCCTTTAAAATGAGGAAAATAACCTTGATCTAAATCTTCCATATCTTACTATTTTCAAAATTGTTTTAAAATGATAGCTTCCTTTTCAGCTTCATTTTCAATTTCAGAAAAAGAAAATAGTCACAAAAATTATATCAGATCAATACGATATATAGATAGACATTAAGACACCTTTTAAGATAATGTGTTTGCTTTTTATTCCATTTTTTTTACAAGTATCAAAATTCAAAAATGTACTCTCACTTTTAGCGTCACAACAAATAAATAATGTAACGTAGCACAACTTTTTAGAATTAGAATAATAAAGTTTGACAGAAAATAGTTCCATATTATTTCAATAGATAATTTTAGTTATATAGCTTGTAGAAAAAAAATTTGGGAACTTTTGAGACAAACTGTGTGTGCTTATTTTTACATTTATATTTATTCGTTCATACTTTTAGAGATGCCGCATGTTATCGAAGATACATAATCACACTTTTTCAAAAATAATGGATAACGATTGTATCAACTATATCAGTGTATATCAATATTTAACAGTGGTAGAATTTAGAAATCTTTTAACACTTTGACACCTGTTGATAAATTCAATTAAATCGACATTTTACTGTGATATAAATTAGATCGTTTAAGATTGTTTAATTCACCGAACAAATCTTTCGTTGAGGTCATTGGTATCATGGTCTTAAGTTTGTTTGCGTCGCGTATGTTTTTTAAACTTTTCGCGGATTTGAAGTGAGACGAGAGAGTAAAGGAGACAAATATACAAAGATTATATTAAACAGAACTTTTATATAAAGTATACGCGATGCAAACGAATACTATTGATAGACTTGTAGGCCTATATTCAGGACTTAGAATAACGATGTTAGCACGCTAATAAGTCTTGAGATTCTATGATATATGTAACGAAAATTATATGCTAAATTTGCACCAACATCGTTATAAGCGCGTTCTGAATACAAGCCTTTGCATAAAAGAATTGTTTCATGTTTTTGTTGACAGTTTGTATAGAATAATGTTGCGTCCAGGACAAGACAGAGTTGGAAGAGCAGAATTGTCGCAGCACTTGACTGGCTCACACACTCCCTCACTAAATTATAATTACACGCTGATCAGAAAACACCAATTTTATTAATAAAGAGAATGTTTAACAAATATAAGAGCCAAATGTAATTTGTTTGCGCGCGATGACAGCTCAAACGCAACTCGATTGTTTTAAAAGGACGAAGTCATCGGCATAGACCAAGATCTTTCAAATATCGATTTTTCCTTTGATCAGCTATTCTAATACCGGCCGGGCTCGAAATCAACCGACGGAATTCAACAAGAATGCAATAACATATAAGCATTGTTTCTTATGAAATTTTTAAGTGTACTTGCTGTAATCAGTATTAATTATGTAAGTTATTTTTACACAACACTTTTGGATCATTCAGTTCCCATAAGTGTTCGCACTATCGTCGGTGCTTTCCGATATTGTACAAAATGCTCCTTCAGAAATAAAAGTATTCGCTAAACGATTCTTGCCATTGTCAATAATTCGTGAAGCGATTGGTTCTCAAAAAGTTATCTGAAATATGACGCTAACACTTACTATGCCTTAAATTGCGTATATGTACGTGCCTGCGCGATTTATAACCTGTAGCACTTTCAAACGATATATTTTCTATGAGCATATATTATATGCTTTAATGTTTTGGTCAGAAGATTAACATTTATCACTAAATCATGCACAGGGTTAGGTATAGTAACTATAATAGTTAAAAAGTTAAATAATAAAATTAATAACTTTTAATTTAAATTAGTTACATAATTTTAAACGAGGTATCTGTTAAATTTTACTATTTTAAACATATATAAACTTTAACTTATAAACTTTTTTCTAAAAAGTTAAAAATTTATTGATTAAAAAAAACATTTTTAAATAAAAACTATATTTTGTTGTTATTTCATATAAACTTAATTTACAAATAAAATATTAAGTTTATTTAATAATTACATTATAATTGTTTTTTATTTAGAGTAATTTAATTTAAAAAAATTACGACATTTTAATTTAATATAAATGTTTTTTAAAATTAATTTTTAATTTAACTTAAGTTAATTTAATCTTAACTCAACTTTTAACTGACAATGAGTTAGTTTTTATTCATGCAACTTCTAATTATCTTAATTAAATTAATTTTATAAGTCATTAACTTAGTTTGGTTTTAAAAACATATTAATTTACTCAACTCTGCTTTTATTTTATATCATCTTTTTATAATTATGCTCAATTGTGATTATAATTAATATAATGCGCTAGACATATACTACTTAGCGTACTATAATCGTTTATCTAGTAGTGCCGGAGTTTATATAGCTTGTATCTATGGACTTTCACACAACAATAACACTATGCTACAACAAAATTCTCTTCGAAGTGCGACCTATCGTTTCGTGAAGATTTTTTCGCTGAATACGATACCGTTTGAAAAATTCGCCTAGCACATCAGGATTTTGAGTAAATTGGAATTAATGTGGCCAAAAATGGCATTTTTGGTCACTTTTAACCATTCTTTTGTGGCAAAACCGAAACTGATTTTTAAATGAAGCCAACGGCATCTGAAAGTATCATTCAAGAGCTTTCAAACAAACTTTGGTTCATGACCGTACGACTTTTTTTATCAAGTTATGACTGAATTTTATACTTTTAGACTTTTTATACTCTATGTTACAAAAACACGGATTTGGGAAAATTTTTCTCGGGGATGCTATTTGCAGCATTATAAAGTTTGAACCTTTCTTTTTAATTTAAAAAAAAAAACAAATCGCGATTTTTTTTACAAAG